CACTTAATTAACAAAGAAATAAGAAAGCAAAACAAGATTTAAAATTAAAACTTTTTTAAGCACACGAAACAGTTATTAATTAGTATTAACTTACAATGACTATAAGTCATACTTTCTGTGAAAAATAAAAATTTATACGTCAAATTAAATTCTGTCAATATCTAATACTACAATAATCTGACATTTTTCTGAAATAATTTCTCTCATCTTTGCGATATTACTGTTGTTTACAGAGGAAAATATTCGACTCGCACTAGACCAATTTTCGACGATCTCGAAAACTTCTATAAATCTTCTATTGGGCTGTTACTCTATATCAGAGTTTTCAGACGCTTTTGATTTTATAGCTTTCATCGCAAGGGAATAATAACTGAATAACACACTAAAACGCAAACGAGAAGTCTAATATTGAACTGCATTCATATTACTGGTAACCACTGTTTTTCTCGGACTTTATATACGACTGTATAACTATTACATTTGGCTTACATCATTTATGGTATGTAATACAAGTATGTGTTTGTTACATCCTTAATATGTCACAAAAGTGTTTTAAACCCGCAAGGTTTTGTTATGTATAAGGAGAGTTTACTTTTAAATCTCAGCGTCGAATTTCACGTCATTAATTGAACAGTGCTATTTAGACTATTTTGGATTGACTGTGAGGGATCAAGATAAATCCAATCGACGATCAACAGACCCTTTCGACCTAGTGTCTACATAGTTTTGCAAAAGCTATGCTAAATGCAATGAATTTGTATATATGAAAGAGAAATTCTCCAAACTCAGCGAGGAAAAAATAAAAGTGAGAAAATTTGTAGGTCCATAAATACTGCAACTGATAAAGCATATGAGCTTTGAAGAAACACTTGATGATCATTTAAATATATATAATATATATGTTTTGTGAACGATGTCCAAAATTTTCTTGGAAACAAAAAATCGGAAAATTACTAAGACTTATCAAATGAACTTATAATGTCATAAAAAGCTTTGGGGTGTACCATGTCCTTCAAAATACATATGCTGAATTCCTATCTAGATATCTTTCCGGCAAAGTTAAATATTGTTAGTGACGAACAAAGCGAGAGGTTCCATCGGGACATTTCCTTAATGGGGAAGCGCTATCAAGTGTAGTGGAGTGCAGGAATGCTAGCAGATTTTTGTGGGAGGCTTAAAAAGGACTTGCAGAAGCCAAAAGTTGTTTTTAATTATTTTTTCTATATTAAGCAATAATTTTTCTATATATAACTGATGTTTGTAATTTTTTGAAAACATATTGAAAGTTTCCGGAAATTGTAAATAAAACGAAAAAATTTTAATTTTCATCAATATTTATTTTGTCGCCTTCAAAATATACTCCTTCTGAAGCGATAACTAATGCCACCTCTTTTTCTAATCATTGCCTTGTAGGCGCTGTCCGGGATCGCCTTTAGTTCCCTCTGCGCATTTTCTTTTATGGTCTCAATCGAGTCGAAACGAGTTCAATGGAGTGCTCATTTGAGTTTTAGAAACAAAAAAAAATTGCATGGAGTCAAATCCGGTGAATACGGTGGTTGATCGATAGTATTTAACGACCAAAATTAAACCAGCTACTTCACGACCGATGTTTAGCTTACGTGCTATCTCTCTCTCTCTCTCATGATGATTTTCGCGCACGATTTCCTTCATTTTTTTGATGTTATCGTCAGTGGTAGATGTCGAAGAACGACCGGAACGAGGCATGTATTCGACGGTTCCTCGACCATCTTTAAAGGTTACCAGTCGTAGACTTGGGGTTTCAATATCATAGATTCACCATAAGCCTTTTCTAATATTCTCAACGATTCCGCACACGAAATTTCGTTCGAAACACAAAATTTTATGCAAATTCTTGATTAAATATTTTTTTCCATTGTAAAAATTGCAAAAAACTATTGAGGCCGACTGATTTCAACAGCTGGTTTTTCAGCGTGGGCAGTTTAAATGACAATTTTCGGAAACATTCTGGTCACAAACAGACAAACACAAACTTCACAATTGTTTTCCATACAAAGACTTGTTTTTGATCATTCAGTTTGTATGGCCGCTATATTTTATAGTGATCCGAAATCGGCCGTTCCGACATCTGAACAGCATCTTAGAGATGAATGGACGTGTGCAAAATCTGAGGAAATAGTTTGTGTATATATCGACAAAAAGACAGAGGGACTTGGCTGAATAGACTCAGTTCGTCACGCGGATCATTTATATATATATAAATATACAGTTAAACTGGTACTGGAAATAATTAAAAAATTTTGCCAAATACCTAGTTCATATTTGAATCAAAAACATATACCGTATACCTCACTAAAAAAATGATTCTGTTATTTACCCAATAAGATGCCGGGAAGATGATTTACAAGAATGAATTTGACTTGTTGTCTCAATAACTTGAAAAGTCAGAATATGGAACAGAACGTTACCTTTTTCACTGTCAGTGAATTTGACGTGATGAAACCGCACTCATAATGCATTGACATTAAACTGTTCCAGTATGCCAAAAGTTGCATGTATAGGTATGATATTTAAGTTGCTAACTTTTTAAATGTATACGGTTTTATTCCTCATCGAAGAAAAATCGAATTATTTAAGATAATTTGGAGAAATTTATGTTTATAGACTAGTGCAGCCTTTGAAAACAATAAAAAAAAATTGAAAGAAATTCAAAGCAGGTTGAAACTCATCGGAAATGAAAGATAAGAAAAGAAGATAAGTTATAACTAATAGCCATATTGCGTATCTATAACAGCGCGAGTATAGTTGCCGTTCGGCAAGCGTATGGTATACTCGTAAACATTACGAGTGGATATCGGCTACATAATGCAGGCATATAAGCCGGTTGTCACCATTTTGTGTATATTATCGATTGTTATAATATGAAAAACTGTTCAAATCAGGAAAATAACCTTGAGCAGTTATTTACATTATTTACCAAATTTTGCAATTTGACTACATTGAATTTCTTTGTAGAAAAAACTTATAGTTTACTTGTGTCTTAAGCCAAACCAAGCCGATTTTTGGATATTTAAATAAATACTACAGATCAATTTATTTAAGATTATACTTTTACATATTTAAGAATACATAGTAAAAGCATTGAAGAAAAAAATTAAATATTTTTCGACTTACACGCGATCCTCAACTGTTGCAGTGATTCCGGCGTTCCCCGTGGACGAAATCTAAAAAAAAATAATTATCTCTAAAAGATATCAATACACTGATGGCAGCGTTTAAAAGAAGGTTGAATTTTAACCTAAATTTTGGTCGCTTTTGAGGAAAAAGCCAAAAAAAAATGTATTGGGATCGGTTAATTTGTCTCCGAGTTCTGTAGTAGAAAAACACATATAAAGATATACTGTTAGACTGCGGCTACACCTTAGAAGTCTCAAAAACTATTTGAAATTTTCATTAAAAATTTTATTATAGTATTTTCAAAGGTGTGGACTATCGAAATATGTAAAAAATAGCGGGCCATAGGTGTGCCCCTTAATATTTCTACGAATGTTTCTACTTAAATGATTGACCAAAATTCATTTTAAAAAACACGTTGCTCTTTAAACAATTTATGCATTTTTCAACTAATATTTACTCTCAAACTTTTTTGTTGTGAACTATTTTTTAAAGACTTACATTGTCTATTGATGCATTAATATGATTATCTAAAAGTTTTAATTGAAATGATTGTTAGTAAATAAATCTTCGGTTTCTTTGAAATTGCCAAAACTAATCAACTTGAAAAACTGAGCAATTTAACGCAAAGAATTTTAGTAATGTCACAATGAACGTAAGAATTAATTCAAACCTATTATACATTTAAATTCTCATGAACGTCACTACAGTGTTTATGTTTCAGTTGATGATTTCTGTCATGAATTTGAGAAGTGCTGTCAAATGCTTCAAACAGTACATCCTAAAATTGTAAACTCAGGGTTAATATTTGCATTTTCAAGTAAACTGACTTTAGTAGCTATACACAAGGCACATTTCTGTTACAGTATCCAAAGCAAGTACTAGTATGCGGCAACTATAATATAGTAGCCTTCCGCAATAGGGGCGTAAAGCAGTTTTTATACTTATGACAAGATAACGCTATCTTCACTGGCACATACTCTAAAATGTATTTAAATATTTTTTGGTTGCAATTGTTTACTCTGATTATTTTTGGACTGGCGAAGCGCAATATTTCGGGGAACCTCAGTATATAATATTTCTCTATATAAAAAACGTGTACTTTCGTATATATGTGTATCCAAATTTGAACGTGCCCGCAGAAAACCATCAATTCAGATGACCTAATTTGCTAAGTATTGGTCAAGAGATATTCCAACAATAAAAGAAATGCAGAATTGTGACTGAACTTCGTTCAATGACCGATAACTAAAGAGGAATACACTTAACTACATACACACATCAACGAGTGGAAGAAAACAACGATAACTTTCATGCAACAATAACCCCCGTACTTGTTAACTCGTCGAATAAGTGCTACATTCGCATTGAGGTAATAATGGAGTGAAAGACGGAGTGCTGATCACATGTAGCGGAACGCCGTTTACAAAGCAAGTAAACGATCAGCTTAGCCGGCAGTAAGTGAGTAACGCTGCGGCGGTACGCTCCGGTAAATGAGCAGCTCAAACGCAAAAGCAAATTTAATTTCATGCTCACACCTAGACTGAAGGTAAGCTGGCTGACTGCTCGCGCCGAGCGGTAGCCACAAAGTGAGTCGCACAATAAATTGTCGGTCGTGTTTTTAACGCAAATGATTTGACGCAGCAGTGCGTTCAAAACAAAAGCGAAGGTGCGGTGTGTCATTTAAAGATCTGAAAATCAGAGAGAGCGCAGAAAAGAGGCTTGCGAGCATTGCGGCACTTCCAATGCCCGTGTAAATTGTAAATATTAAACTTGTGACGGTTAGGCGAGCGTCTGAGCGCTTGGCTGGAATGGCAGAGCAACGCTTTTGACTTTGTGGCGCTGGGTGTGCCGCTTTACGGCCACATTTGTCGCGCTCAGTTGTGCTTCGGCTTTGTTGGCTTAAACGCGTACCACTTTTCGGAAAAGCGTTTTTGTCTATCGGTTATTGGCGGCATGTGCGTACGCGACTTAACGTCTATCGCTTTTTGAATTTACTTTTATTTCATTTCCCTTTCGTGGCTTATTCTGCTTGCTTTGTTTGATTTTTGTGTTGTGCGATTTTCCGTGCTTAATAAATTTATTTCAAAAATGCCTTCATGCCACAACGCAAACTTATATAACGAAGCATAACAAATTTTACACAAATTAAAACGTAAAAAAAATTGTTTGAAATATGGTCGAAAGTGTAAACTACAAAATACTAGTAGTTGAGTTCAAAGTGCCAACGTGGATGTGAAAATATTGAAAATTAGTGGAAGCAAACTGTGTGTAAACAGCGTGAATATATGCAAAGCGTATAAAAATATTATTTAAAAAAATTACCAGGTAGTTAGTTATGATGTGATCTAAGCAACAGCGGGCATGTGTTTAGTAAGGTCTGTGTATGCAAATGAAGGTTGGAAAAATACGAGTAGTTAGATACAATGCTGCGAGCTTAAAGGCAATAAAACGAACAAATAATGAGTTAGAAGAATTTCTACAAGTTTCAGAAAGTGAAATCTACTAATACACTCACAAATACAATATATTATGAAAGTTATGTATGTATATACAATATATCGTATATGAAAATGGAGGGAGATGTGTAATTAATAAAAATATGTGAAATAATTTTTAAAAAGGTTAAAATCTATATTAATTTGCACTGGAAGTTATTTATTACATTAAAAATATTTCTCAAGCCGTTTTTATGCAATAAATTAAGACAAATTTAACTCACCAATTTTTAAGTATATTAGTCTGAAGTCTAAATATCATAGCTGGTTAAGGTAGTGACTATCAAAAGTTTTTATTATCAATCGTTAAGCTAACTAAATAACAAGATTCAGAGTGTTATTATTTCTCAAATACTTCGCACTAAATCTATAAGCTTCTATTAAACGTCTGAAAACTTCTAAAAGCAACAAACGGTCAGAAAATATTATATTAATATAGCCGGCTCAAAAAGAAGCACGATACCGATCAAACATTTCGAAAAGTTTTGAAACGTTAACCAAACTAAAGTTTTTTTTACAAAGAATATAGATTTAAGAAGCAAAGTTGCTGATTTCATGTGTGAAACTGGCCCCTAACAATTGCTATATAGGAGATACCTACAATTGTCGTTTGTGGTCAGCCAAATCAATAACTAACTAATGTGTCAGTTCATTTATAAATTGCACAGGGACTTTCCATACGATTCTGAGAAAGATTTCATAAAATATCTCTAATTTATTGTATTTTACAAGTTCTAGATTTAAATGATATAACTTGGCAGCAGGTTTTAAATATTACAAGAAGAAATGTTAACTTCGGTTGCATCGAAGCTATAATACAATTCACAAATAAAATTTTTACAAAAGCTTGATATTGACCGATCAGTTTGTATGGCTGTTATGTGTTCTAATATTTTTATCTGACCAATTTATTCGGGTATTATAGCATTTCCTTGGATAATTATCCATACCAAAATTCGTGAAGATATCTCGTCAAATAAAAATGTTTTTCTTACAAAGTCTTGTTTTTTACCGATCAGTTTATATGGCAGCTATATTATAGTAGTCCGATCTTAAAAAGTTGTTCGGAGATTATAGCGTTGTATAGAACAATAATTCATTGCCAAATTTCCTGAAAATATATAAAAGTTTTCTAGCAGTTACACGCTAGAGTGGTCCGATATCGACAGATCCGACAAATGAGCAGCTTCTTGGAAAGAAATGGATGTGCGCAAAATTTCAGATCAGATATCTCAAAAACTGAGGTACTAGTTCGAGTAAATACAGACAGACAAACCGACAGATAGACAGACGAACGTATATGGCTAAATCGACTCAGCTTGTCAATTTGATCGTTTCTATATACATATATTTTATAGAGTCTCTCATGTTTCTTTTGGATGTTGCAAGCTTTGTGACATACTTAATATACGCCTGGGTATAAAAACTAAGAGTTTTACACAGTTATTTTTTATATTTAGGAGGAACTACGTCATATCTGACCTTCTTTAAAGCCGCAAAATATGGTGCATATACTAGTCTCTATTAAGTTATGCTCTTATTGTATACATTATATATCGTATATTTTAATTGACAACGAAAGTTGAAAATTAATTCAGTAGTTCTAACAAATGCATTGAAATTTTAACCCAGTCGCAGATTTCAGAAAAATGTGGCTAATCGCTTCAAACTAGTTTAAAATTTGTGACTGGAAAGGGCAATGCAAATAGCGGTTATTCTTAGTAATATTAAATTTTTTAATTAGAAGTAATGTAAATGAGCATATCATTAAGCGTGTGTAATAATAAATAGGTGGCTGTAGTTAGCCCTGAAATTTATTCCTGATAAACGTTCACCAAGTAGGCGGTTAGTGTTCAACCCCAGAACTTAAATGAACTTAAATGTTGTTCTAAGTTCTCTGATTCAGCCTTACTAAGTACTCAAGCTCCGCAAGCACCTCTGCAGCAATAAGTAAATAACAGTTTACGCTTAATTTACCGCCGTTCATGCGATTTCCTAAAAACTTCAATAATCAAGTTCATAATAATATGACATACAAAAGATGAATGAAATTTTACGCATTATTAAGCCGATTAATTGCCTACAAATATGATATGATAGTACGAGACCAAACTACTTACAAGTATATTGCTTTAATTATATTGAGACATGCTTCGCTGTGTTTCTTATAATAACAAACAACATAGGTGTTATCTTGTGTATTCAGTAGTTTAGTGTAGGTTGTAGCTGCTTAGAACTACAGTATTTCTTAGAGGTATAACTGGCATATCAGTTGTCGAAGTGAAGACATGTGTTTGACAGTTTTATTCGCAATACTTCGCAAATTTATCAAATACACACACCGAAACACTGCTTGAAAAGCGAAGCAAATCGATTTTCGAACTAGTATTCTCTATTGAAAACTTACGGATCACTCCGAACACGTGAGTGACAAGACGAAATGGCCATACTACTGGTCTATACTTTTTTGAAACAGAGTTCTAAATTTGTTTGGTGTCGCCGCATTGGTATCAATCGAATAAGAGCTGACGAATCCAGCAGGATGAAACAACAAGTCACACAGCACATGAAATCACCACTTTGTTGGAAAAAGTTATAGTATCGGTCACATCATATCAAGTAATACATCCGTAAATTGATACTCTAGGTCATGTTATTTGCCACCAGATTACTTCTTATAGGGTTCTACCGTTGCAGTTTCTTCAAGATAGACCATTACATCTTGAAGAAACTGCAACGGCTGAATTTTTAGAAACCTAACATTCGTTGCGTTATTGGCCAGATAATCGAACGAGAGTCTTAATTCATGCATCTGAAATAATTGAAGAAATTATTGCGCAAATTATAGATTCATAAAAGCTTATGAAACATTTTGAAAGATTGACCTAAAATTATTGTAAACTAGAATCGTTTCAATCCCAATTGAAAGATATAATGTATTCATTAGTTCTAACTTTTATTCTTATATATATACTTATAAGTATAATAACTATATTGCCAAAACTAACTTCAGATTATTGTGTATTAGACGACTTTATTATGATCTATAGTCTAGTAACCAAGTGTTCTATAACCTTTTAATCTAGGTAGGGTTTTTTGAAATTTCAATTTTTGATCCGAGATATCAACTTTACCCTTAGAGAAGAATGGTTTTTTTTTAAGTTAAATTAATAAATTAAAATGTTTGCTCTCCATTTTTATAGATACAACTCAGAATATAAAAAAAACTCTTTTGCTCATAAAATTTCTGTGGTTGTAAGTACGAAGAATAAAAACTATAAGGGGGAATTAGAAACAAATTTAATTATCTCAGAAGTCTATGTGCACTAGCAGTAAAAAATAAGATAAAACAATTCTCTAGAGTCCGCGAAAAGTTTAACTAAATATATAAAAATATAAAATATTTCAGATAACGTAAGCAAATAGAAGTGAAAAAATGAAATAACACAAGTTGTTTTCGAAAGCTTTTATAACTTTTCACTTCCATCGTTGCTGCTGCTAGAAACTGCGAGAACAAAGCAAAGAAAAAAGAAAAGAAAATAATTCAAAACGCATAAATAACCAAAGCAGCAATTAAGAAAATACGAAATAAGTAGACAACAAAACTATAAAAACATTCACCAACATTACACAACACTACCGAACATGTCCGATAACGGTGAACAACAAGCGCCCACACAACCGACTACCGTCTCACATCCACTGCAGGATATCGCCTTGGATGTGCCGGACGATGCTGCCGGTGGCAAACAAAACTGGGTTAAATTCGATGATGACGAGGCGGCCCATAAAAATGCCAACAACAAAAGAAACACACACAGTGACGATAACATAGGCAATGCCACACGCATTAGCCCTATCACCGTCACTAGCAGCAGCCGAGACGCGCTGGCAGCAGAACCAGCAACGTCGATGCCAATTCCGGCAAACCGGTCAGCCCCCTCCGCTCTACTACCAGCGCCGCCCAGTCGTAAGCAAACATCTGTCGCTAACGCGTCAATACCAATAACAACGGCAACAACAGCAGCCATAGCGCGACCACGCTCACCACTCAGCGGCGTAGAGAGTGCGAGCGGTGTCGAAGCGATCGTGTCAGCATCAGCACCTGTTCAGGTGAGTAATCAAACAATGTCAACTCTCGAATTTTTCTTTTTCTGGCGCTTTATACTCAAGTTGTAGTGAGAACGGTTAGCTTGTGGTAAGCTCTTTTGTTGCATAGTCACGCGCAGAGCTTTTCTGAGCGCATATTCGTATAAGTTCTCCTACAAAGAGCTCAAATTGTTACGGGATTAGCGAGTGTGTGCACTATGTAGAATAAGCACCTAAATATCAGTTAGCCACTTTCGTTTGCTTCAAGCGTCACTCGTTTATACTTTTTTTTTTGTATCGCGTCACTTGCATTTACTTTATTATGAAGAAATATAGATACATACATATATATACTTCACTTTATCTTTCTTCAACTCATTATCTTATTTGCTTTTGTGTGATTTTTCGCATTCTAATCAACTAAGTTGTTCGCATGTATTTTGCTTTTTTATTCACCACACGAAAAGGTCATAAAATGTGTATAAAAAAATTTCGAATTAAGAATGAATATTTTTATACCTACTACTTCGCGATAATTCGATAACTTTTTATTTACCTTTTCGTTGCCAACGGCATTTCATTCTGACAAAAGATTTGTCATGTTTTTTTTTTTTGATGCTACGAAATCAAAAAAAAAAAAGAACACACCATCAAATCAGATAGCGAAATCTATCCCATAGTTCTGGATACCAGGAAGATGGTCTATAATTTATTGCTTGTTTTTGTTTCAAGTGGTTCCATGAGACTCAGAAAAAAAGTATATGAAGTATATGAATGCTTTTTTGAAACTTCCTTGTTGTTCTTAGTTTCCCCAACACATATGGATAGTAAGCTTCATATACAAATTAGGAAAGCAAAAGGCTTTAACCATACAACACAGGTTTTCAGCGGTTAAAGAAATTTATGTGAAATGCGTTACCGTTAAGAGTGAGTTTTCGCTGAAAGAGTGAACTGGTTATTAGATTTTTTCAAAGACTACTTTAAGGGAATGGTTAATTAAGTTTACAGTTCTTTTATTGTGAAAGATGTGTGGTCCGATAACGGCAGCTGCGACAAATAAGCATCTTTTTGGGGAGAAAATGACATGTGCAAAATTTCAGATCTATATCTTAAAAAATGGGAGACTACTTCACGTATATACGCATTCGGCCAAACCGAATTGACGGACGAATTATTTATATGTACATATATATAATTTAAAGGGTCTCCAACTTTGCCTTCTATATATTGAGATTTGACAACCCTAGTGTTGCCATTTGAATTTTATACATACTCAGAACGTGCACTATGAGCACTATTTGTGTTATTTACAGTATCCTAAAGTTTTCATCTCGGACAAAAAATAGAATTAGATTGCGCGAAAATTTTTTACAACTTGACTTTTGATTTCTTTTTCTGCCGTACGTAAAAAATAAACTAAGAGATCAACGTTTTTTGATACTTGAAGAAGCGGTTGATTTAGAGATACATGTTGTTGTTGTTGTTGTTGTAGCGGCAGAATTCTGAGATACCTCAGTCAGAGCGGCAAAATTGCTTCGAAAATTAGTTGAAACGCATGCAAAAGTGTATAGATCTCAATGGAGAATATTTTGAAACCAATAAAGTGATTTTCGATGATTAATATAATATTTGTCTTTGTTCTGCAATCCCGAAATATAAAAGGCAACCCTTTTATACCTTGTACAGGGTATAATTATACGTTATGATTAAACCAACTTCGGTATAATGATGTTAGCCGACATTACCTAAACTTTACACCATCAGGTAATTCTAGCTATAAATCTGAAAGAGTTGCTATATGTACCTTATAAAGCACAGAGTTCTTAAAATCAAAGAATAGTACAATAGAAAATTTTAAATCGGAAATAGAAAAATTTATTTTCAACACTAAGAGTTTCTAAAATATCTGATGCGTTCTTAGCAAAGTTTGCTCAATTAAATAAGGTAAAATTAAATATTATACACATGATATATCTGAGTACTTAACGAGAATCTGTAGTCGGTTAGTTTTTATTCCCATGATCTTAACAAAAACTATCCTGATTATGTAAAAATAAAACGTAAAACGTATATAAGTATTATAGTGAAACTAAAACGTTTCTTCAGACAAGGTTACTTACCATATTAAATATATTTAAGCTGAAAAATCATAAAATACATAATGGGTTTTCAAACCAGCTTTATTTAATCATTAGTCGTTATTCGGTAGTTTTTACGGGCATTTTGTTTTTGTAAAATAAACGGATCATCGTACTACCGAGTAACGAAGTACCAGCGCCCGGCAAGCTTGATGCTTTTTTCGTTATTTGGTAACATCAAATCAGCTGTTTGTTTTACGTCGTTGCCCAAAAAGTTCATTAAAGATTCATTACGAAAAAAATACGTTTTCTAGTCGGTACAAAATAATTTTAGACAAATTTTTTAAAATTAAGTATTTAATAAAATAAAAATAAAGCTGTTTTGAAAAAAATTTATATATACCACACTACTGAGATAGGCCAAACAGTATGTTCACAGTTAAGTGAAGTATCAACTAACGAATTCCCAGATTAACATGCTCGATCTGAATACCCCTATAATCAGTTTCGCGATAATGATGTAGGTCATCATAATGTACGAGTATGTATAACACATAATTAAACTCAGCACAAAACATCAAATTTATGCATAAACAGATGCAATTCACAATATAATAAGAGTTTATTTATAATTTTATTCAAAATGTCTGGTTCATAAAGTGAAAAAATTTATTTTCGCCACAGCTGAGCTTTGTTACACCTGTTTACATCGGACCTTTGAAAAGCGGGGAATTAAAACTGCCGGCTCACATCACAGTTGTAATTCAAAAAACAAAAATTATGTCCCTGCTGTTAAAAGTGCTGCTTTTAGTTGTCGTAAACAGATCTTATTAATTTTTGATTGTGCTGTAGATTAAAGCTCGTTATAAAAGCTAAAGTTCGTGCGAAATCATGCTCTTTCAACATCTACAGAGATCTGAGTTGTGAATTAAACTTGACAAAGTTGAAGAATTTAAGTATTTATATATTTTTACTTAGGTAAATGATAAAGGACGCATTTTTATTGTCAGTTTGGTTTGTTAAGTTTTACAATTTATAGGTACAAATTTATTAATGCCTAAATTTTCTGAAGTCATAATTATTTTAACTACTTTTGATAATTTCAATTATAACCACAAACAAGCCCGAGAGTATCACAGCTTATTTAGAGGTATATTAATATTATTATTTCTGATTCATACAAGTGCTATAAGTGATGTCAGATGCCGGTTTAGTCAATATTTAACAGGTTCCGAAAGATACAATTTTTAAGTTCCAAACTTAAGATTATGTTCTTATCAAAACACCACATACAAATTATAATCACACCCTTTTACAAGATATAAAAAATAATAAGAAAAGCAAAAACTAGGAAACGTTTTAAGGATTACTTTGTCTATTAATAATTTGCCATCAGTATGGAAAATATTAAATTTCGCAAAAAGCAGATTGCTTACTAAGATATTCTTTGACATAGTTAGCACTTGCTTAAGTTTACTTTGAAAACTTACGGCTTTCGTGTAGGCAAGAGACAGTTATGAATCGCACAAAGCAAAACTTATCGACCTTGCTTACATAGTTTCTAAAATATTTTTAGATGAATTTCAATAGTTTCAATTCATTACTGCTTATTTTGCACACAAATATTCATATTATTCTCAAGTTGAATGCGTTCTGACAACTTTTGGTAAATGGGTTGAATCAAGCAGGTATTTAATGGGCAATTACAAAAAGAAAGTTTTGCGAATAATTACGTCTGTATATTGATCATTTCGAAATAAGTTAGAGTCACATAACTGAAAAATTCTCTGAAGATATTATATTTAATTTATTAATGTATATATAAGTTAAGTTTACTTAATCATCCTGCCGTCCAAAAATGAGTAACAAGTCACGGTCATTTGGTTGAAAACGAAACAATTAAAAAAGATATAAACGTTTCTTTATGTTCACTCGAATACAAACAAATATTCGTATTCATCTGAAACAACAATTCCATTTTGTATCTCTTGAGTAAAAAAGGTAATTCTGTTTATCGAGTGGGATGTGCTGCCCAAAAACCCATGTTCGCCATCAAAAGCGGGTAATTTAAAAAAAAAATCGTATCAAAAGTGCTAATTTGCCGCTTAATACCCTCATGACCATATTTTTTATGAATTATCAATATAATGTATATAGAAACATAAATGGCAATAAGCAGGTGCAAATTCGGAAACTAATATTTTGTTAATATTTTTTCACAATAACATGTTTTATAATATAATACCATCAACGGTACATGGCCATCTATAGCCAGTGCCGGACAATCTATTACTAAACATATTTTTTTTATGCTGGAATATTAGTTCCCCCTTAAAAGGCAGTTAATTCGAAATAGTGTGCTAGTTGCTTCTTTCTTTTCATATTTCAACAACTCTTTTCGTCTAGCGGAGAGCTAAATATCATATATCCTTTTAGACGAAGTATCCCATATAGTCCCTAAAGGCTAGATTATAGTACGCTAATATATAGTCAATGTGCACTATATAGAATTTATAAAAAAAATTATTTTGTCTATCAAAAGTGTTCCTTACTTGTGACTTGTCTAAAAACTCAGTAAAATATATAAGTTATGACTAATAAATAATTTAAACAAGAAACAAGTAAAGAAGCTCTAAGGTTGGGTGTAACCGAACATTTTATACTTCTGCAAGGTAAAGTGAAACACTGGATTTCCGTATATAATATATATTTATATTCGGTATTTTTTAGCACAATGGTCTATTATTATCAAATAAACATTTTCCCCAAATTTAAATTATACATCTGTTAGATTGGCCGATATTTTCGGCTAAAAGTCAACCATAGGCTCAAATAGTTTTAGGTGATACACAGAACCGTTAGGTGAACAAAACTATTACACTCTATGCAACATATTGCGAGAGTATAAAACCGTTAACTTCGATTGCACTGAAGGAAGCTAGAATACCCTTCACAAATAAAAAAGTTTCCATAAAAAACTTGGTTCTGATCAGTCGGTTTGTATGGCAGCTATATTCTACAGCGAACCTATATTGGCGGTGATTTGAGGCTCTAGTTCACGTGTATACGGACATACGAACATAACTGAATCATCTGATCTCCTTGATGTGAAATCAAATGGTAGTATTAATCGTTTCATCCAATATTTTTAAAGGAGCCAATTATAACACGGCTCTAAGAGGTTGTATATATGCCCTCATCTGTTAATTTTTTAGCAAACAAAGCGTGGAATTTGTAAAAAAATCGCATTGATCTAGTCTGTAAAACTTTAACTTGTTCAGCGAAATGATATAATATAATAGTTATATAGACTGAATAACACAGTCTTGGCTACGGCTGTCATATACTCGTCAGGGCGCAACGTATGATGACACTATACGAACTATTAGAGTTACTTAATAGTAATACAGTTAAAACAAGTTAAAGTCTTCTACTTGTAGGGGTAAATTAATGGAATACTTGGCTATAATTATTCCTACCAAAGTAGGAAAACCTCAAATGTACAGCAAGCTTTCCGAGCAGTAACTGCCTCTTGGCTATCAAAGTAGAGTGTCGTCAAGTTTTAAAACCATAAATATTATTGCTTACTACTTCTACCTGATTGAAAACCTCTCACAATTGTTCAGTTTATGTTTTTTGTCAGGTGATTAATTGTATTTTCAAAGCATCCATTAGATACAATACTAACCAATAATCAAACAAGTTTTTCAGTTACGTGAACCCATAATCGAAAATATCATGACTACCACTACCTGACATCGAATTTGTTTTCGGCATTTTGAAAACTGATTTTAATTCACCTACAGATGAAATGCAATTAACATAAAAAAATTTCTGACCTATTGTCCCTTTCACGTGCAATGTAGGCAAGCAGCTGATGTGGAGGTGATCTCCAGATTTGATTTCCTCTGCTTTACAGTTTTTGCATTTTATGAAGAACAAAATATGCACCAGCAATTATTGCACCATTGACTATCTAAAGACTAACGTTCGTGCCGAAATCATCACTACACGGAGTGAAATGTTCGAGAAAGTAATGGAAATGCCGCAAAGGAAGTTAAGTTTGTTGTTGCCAATGAAAATGGCTACTTAGTTGCTGTTGTATTTGAACAATAACTAAATATAATATGTTAAGAGTCAAATTAAAAAAGAATATTCCAAATATAAAAAATATATATAATATATGGTATATCAAATACATATGTATATACAAGATAGGTCTATTTCAAATAAATATGCGAAAAGTATAACAATTCAGTCGTACTTTGATCAATGATTGGACGAATCGACCCAATAACGCAGAGTAACATTGTTTTGTTATTGTTCTACCAAAAACGTTACCGGCCGACTATTGTATTTGCGGAGGCTTTGGATAACTTTCACCGGCACAACCATTCAGTGGACTGCGGTTTGGGCGCAAGTGTCTAATGATTGTCCTTCGATTCAATATCTTTAGGTTTGATGTTAAAAAATGCGCGAAGCTTTTTCGTTTGTAAGTCTGAATGATGTCCCAAGCGTTTCATATACTTAGCTGTAAATGATGTTCAGTTTACAGTCGCCCAAAATAAAATCTTGTAAAATTTCTGAACTAATTTTTGACCTTTGAATATATTGGAGCAGAATTCTTGTAATACCCGTAATCGTTTTGTATCAACGGTATTTTTTTCCATTAGAAAACAGTGATGTTAATAAAAAATTTAAATTCACTTTTTTGTCCTGTAAGAAAAGTAGCAGGGAATATTACCATACGAATGCTTGCATGAAATAACATGAAGTTCGAGGTAACATTACAGTGTTCTAAATAAAGTTCGCAATAGAAGCAAGGGTAAGGATATTTGGAGAAGGTCAGAGACATTTTCAGACTTTGCGGTATATATACACATTTGAGCATGAAGTTTGTTAGGACACTCGTTATATTAGATATGTATATTTTGCAAAATAATGAAAACTGGCGTAATGAATCCACTTTATATACTTATATATATTTCTAAACTCTTTAAGCTTTATATATTGTATATATTAAGTGTTCCCTTTACTCATTTTCAAACTTTTACGCTACAACGCTTTATTGTTGTTGTTCTGTTGTGTTTAACTGCAATATCTGCAATTATGCAATTGTGTTCAACTCTCATATTATTATTTGTGGTCAAGGCCCTGCACGCTTAATTCCAAGCAACTTGTTTTTGCGCTCCAAATAAGCCAGCATTTTTCAGCATTCCACAAATGCGTAGCTCACATGGTGCAATTAGCACATACATACATATATAAGTAGAATGTAACAAGTATGTAGAAAAAAATTATTGAATCATACATGCAGTTATATAAATATATATGGGGCTAAGTATGTGTATGTGCGACTATGGCAGCTTCAGCACGAGAAAAGCAAAAGAGAACACAATCAATAATATTGATTTCATATTTTTCGAAGTGAAACGCTTTGTAGGCCCACAAATAAACGCAAAATATAAATAGGCAGATGGCAAACACATACAAATATTGCAAAAAAGCAGCAAGAACAAGTTAGGCATGACTGACGCACGTGCTAGCAAAGTCATTAACCAATGAGGAAAGCCGAGTTCATGGCAAAGCAGCGGAAAACATAAAAAAATGAACAAAGAATAAATAAAACAAAATTGAAACTAGCAAAAGAGAAGAGAAACTTGCAAGTGTTCGCGCAAAAAAGGTGCCGTTAAATTACTGCAAATGAACGTGACTTTAAAATTTTCGACTATCGGCGCCAATATACGCCTATGGACACGCCGTAAAAGTTATTGTTGGATGGCATTTATGAAATTTATATGTGTATATACAAAGTACATACAAATATAGGCATATATATACGTACATTTATATACATACATATATATATATTAGGGTTTACATTTTTTTTGTTCAGCCTGAGAGTAAAATTTGTAGATTATAAAAAAAAATTTTTTTTGGTAAAACCTCGCCACATTTATATAAAAACTACTGAATTTTACGGTTTTTGACTTAAAATTTATTTTAACGCTTAAGGAAAGCATGTTGTCGTTTAAGACTTTTTTTAAAACTCCAATAATGACCCCAAACATTTTTTTTTAAGTTGATAACTTTTAATTGGCCAAAATGTGGACTTTTCACAGCTTCTAGAACACTTATCAAAAATTTTTTACGAAATAAAAATTTTAACTCGAAATTTGCTTTAAAAGTGAGCCACTAGATGTAAAAAAAAAATTTTTTTTGTCCAAAAATTTTCTTTTTTTATAATCTACAAACTTTACCCCAGGCTAATCAACAAAAAAAAATTTTCGTCCACCCTAATATATATATATATATGTATATACATAGTTATACGTGCACATGTTAGCGCATAGAGTTACTCATTTTATACAATTCATTATTCAATATGCAAAACATTTATTGTCTTTCACAGCGCGCACCAACAAAAACAACGGTTTCCGTTGCTTCACCTCCAACGCCAGCGCCGGATGTAGCACCCGCTGTTTTAAACACGGAGAGTACGCATGTCAATTTGAATGCTTCCGGTCGTTCGCAACCGAAACTACAACAACATCACACACCCACTGCACAGCCAAGCGGGCAACAGCTACAACATCAGCAGCAAAAGGCTAAATTGTCACCGTCAAATGTTGCTGGCGTCGCAAGTGCTGGCCATTTACAGCAGCAGCAACTGCATCATCACCAACAACAGCTACAACAACATCAACAGCATTATCAAAATAACAATGGCACATCGCCATCGAATGGTAGTAGCCATAAAGTGGCAGCAACAACAACGGCGGCAACAACATCGAACGTATCAATACCCGTCGAAACGGTGCCACCGATGCGTACCATTGAACTGTCGACGGGTCGCATACGTGAAGGTTTCGGTAAGTCTGCTTGCGTAATGCAGGGTATTTGGGCTATTTTACGCTGGGTATTAGGACGGACATAAAGTAATTCAGAGTATTATTTATAGCTTTGACACAGTTGTGCATTTTGATAATTCGATAGCTTTGCGCGAGAGAAGCTCACTAATAAAAGGGAGTTTGGCGATCTTGATTTAAATGGGTGTCTTATTGAAACTCTTGACATAACTGCTGCCACTACTATCACAGCGTAAACTCCTTTAAGACAGGAGATCGTAAAACTTTCAGCAAACCTCTCAGAAATAACAGTCGTGACACTTCGCCAAGTGTACAAGTCAAGAGTCTTGTTTAACCTTTTAGTATTTTGAGAAGTGAAATAAAATTATTATGGGTCTGGAAGCTACCACAGCCTTTTAATAAAACTTTTAGTATTGAAGATAGCGAGTTTAAGTCTTCTGAATTTCAAACCAATTTACTTCTTAAAGTATTTATGAAACTCAGAATTTAAATTTTATGTAAACTTAGTGAATTATCACTAAACTGTTAAGAAACTTAAACGGCAAGGGCCCCAAGATAGTGGCATATGCAGACGACATTGTCAACTTAATAGCGGGAAGGTGCTTACACATAATTAGCAATATTATGACAACCAATCGAAATACAGTCCAAAATTGGGCATCGCAGACGGTTCTGGGGTTGAATTCAGACAAAATGATCTGCTTGTTTTTACCAGGAAATACAAAATCCCTACATGGAGGTTACCTTCGATAAATGGGACATAACTATCTCTCAACGACCGCAGCAAATACCTTGGACAGCAAACTGCTGTGGAAGTTCAATGTGGATGAAATAATAAGAAAAGCCGGCAATGTCTTATATGGGTTTAAGTAAATGCTCGACACAAACTTGGGCTTTCTCCTTCTCTCATGCAATGGTGCTACACAGCGATTGTAAGATTCTGTTCTAAGGTGCAGTAGTCTGGTGGACAGGCTAACAGAAATCTACCTACAGAAAAAATAAAAAAGGTTCAGTGGCTCTTCCAACGGCGGCTCTTAAAGTAGTGCTATACCTGTCACATACAAAATTAGGGGGACGCCTACTGGCTGCAGGAGAATGTAACAACTCCAGAGTCAACATCTAAGTAAACAGTCAAACAGTAATCAAGGCTTTAACCTCGTTTCGCATATTGGTCAGCAGTGTCTTGGAAAATAGGGCAGTAGTGGAGAGTGTCGCCAGAAGTAAGGGGCTGCACTTCTACTGGGTATCAGGTCACAAAGTCATCGAGGTCAATGAGATATTAAATGAGATTGCCAAAAGTAGTCATCCAGATGACTGCAGAAAATGTCAAAAGCAAGGCACCAGGGAAATAATAGAGCATCTCTTGTCCACTTGTCCCGCATTGACAAGGCTACGCTTTAAGCATTTGGGGGCCCCACGATATGAGAAACTGTAAGAGGTATTGATAGTGAGGCAACAAAGCTATTGATATTCGCATCAAGCGCAGGCATCCGAAAGAATGTTCATCTGGTATCGCTCAGGACAAAAACTGAACCATGTGTAGTTCAGAAGGCTACCAGACCTAACCTAGTAAATTGTCAAAAGAGTCAACGATGTAACAGCAGTGAAACAAAGCTGTAGCTTTCTTAACTGTCGACTAGAAATTTTCATACGACCTTCTTAGATATATAGAATTTTTGATTATAATTTCGAACACACTGAATTTTTTTAATGAGAAGCCGCCATTTTGTCTAAAATTTAAAATTTGTCTAGTCCTTCGAACATTATGTATTTTCATCTATAGTAATAATATTTTTTTAGCTTTTGTATTTGAGATAAGTTTAAGCAGAAAAATCGTCCTCACCATCAGGCACATTATTTCTGAGAATCTTCGGGAGATCGGCTATGCGATCAAGGGAATCCAAAATTGTTTAAAATAAATCGCCGTTTATTAAAGTACCTTAAAATCTGTAAATGCAATTTTTTTCTGGTTTGCAAGTGGATATAACCCTTTAAGGATTAGCAGTGGTTACATGACAACCCTAAATTATAGGGTTAGTAGCAGAGAAATATTAGCTGAAATGTTTATAGTATTTATAATCATTTTTCAATAGGTATATAACGACAACTATACAAATATATAAAAAAATAACTATTCTATTCTACTATCTAGCGAATGGCGATGTTATTGTCACTTTGTTACCTGCCAACACTAAGTGGCCATGGGTAACGCCAGCTATATTCCGTCCTGAACTTGTACCCGAAGAGCTGATGGCGCAAGGTCTAACCGTGAGTACAACTCTTTAAATTTAATTTTTTTAATAACATACGTGTCCTTCTCACTTTAGCTCACCGTCGAAGAGTACGTCAACGCCATGGAGACATTGGTCAACGATTACCGCTTCACCGTCTACAACATCTGCTACAAGCGTATACTCGTCTGCTGGATTTTGTTAGCCTTCACAGTATTGCTAACATTGCTCTTCTCCGGCCTACAGGGTGTGGCGCTCTTCTCGCTAGGCGTTGGTTGGCTCTTTCTTAATGCGGCCGCTATTTTCCTCTGCATGTGGGTAAAACTTCGCCTGTCACGTGGCCTGGAGAAATGTTTGGCGCGCGTCAATCGTCAGCTAATGAAGCATAAAATTCTACTCATACTCGACGACCGTGGACGCATCTCATGCCACAAAGTAAACTTGTGCTTCATGTATTTCGATGCGACACAATGTGTTAGTTTCCTGAATGAATTTCTCGAACACACCGAACAAAATGGTGGTGAGGCTATCAAGGCGGGTTGGGAGCGCAAATTAGATATTGATGTGAATGATATTGTCATACAGGGCAATAATCCGGTGCGTTTGTCGCGCAAGCAGGTGAGTGCAACAGCGGTGGGGTAAAGGCGGTGAACACTTCGAATTTTCACATTTTTTAACAACATTTCGCAATCACATCTGTATTGTCTCACAATTAACACATTGAAGTGCACAAAAACACGAAAAACCAAATTGGCACTTGCCATACAAACACATTCGTACACACACGCACACACAAACACACATATGTATAAAAATTAATTCATGCAAATAACTCTTTCTCTATGAGTACTACACTTGGGTATCTTTGCCCGCTCATTTCACTTAGGTTGTAGCACAGGAGCTGTTCCTCAGCTATTTGCAACGTTGGGGCAAGGATTTTCTGCGTCGCCGCTTGGACTGGACCGTGCAGGAGGCGGGCGTGCACGAGACACCACGCCATTTGCAATCGTCCATATGCCCGTGTCAGTACGAGGAGGAGCTGCTGCGCAACAAAATCAAAATACAATTGCGAGGCAAGCAGTGCTGTGGCATTAATTGCATTGGTTGCTGGCTTTAGGAGCGCTTGAACAACTGCGCAAGCAACGAAAGCAAAAGCGTGTTGTTGTTGAAATGCAAGTGGGCGCAAAACTTGAAATTGTGCAAAGGCATATTTAATATTTATTATTTGTTCTCATTGAACATAGGCGTAAAATAAAAAAAAAAAAATATTAATAATATTTTTGTATAAACTCTGTTGGCTTTCAGTAAAAAATTATTATGCCCCCTTTCATAAGTTTAAGTTTGTAGAAAACAACACCAAGCAATTATATTTAACATTGTGGCATAACTACTTATAAAAAATGTTATAAATAATAATAATAACAACAACTGCATTGCTGTATTATAAATTATATATATATATATATATTTAATTATTTACATTTGTTATTTTCAAAAATGTCTATAACATATTTGCACGATTCACATCACACGATTAGAACCTTAATGATCGTATTACTAACTAAAGCTTAATTAATCTTAGATAGTTTGAACCTCAGAGGGAAAAATTAAAAGCCTGTGCTTTCAAAGCAGCCACACGTACACCTAAAAGGTGTAAGGACAGATACGTACCAATTTCAAGGCGTCTTTAAAACGACTAGACAAGCTGAAAGCAACAAAATTATATTACGGTCAATCAACTGTGCTTTCTAAAAAACACAGTTCAACCATTACTAAAATAACAATGAAGGCATACTGAATTGGCTGAAAAGTCTGACACAGTACAATTTTTGAAGAAAAAATTTATTATTTTTCGATACGCGATAGCTTATGGCGCTAAAAAGCAAGATCCTCACTCACGGCCTTCTTTGTGGAGAATACCTAAAAAAATTCTCAACTAGTAGCTATTGTCCGCAAAATGAGCTACGATCGGGAAAAAATCAAAAATTGACAAAGTAGCGGCGTTTAAAAAAAGTTGAATTTTATTCAAATTTTGGTAGTTTTTGGCTTGCTAAAATTGGTCATTATACTTGTAGTAGACTATATACAGTACAAGCAAAAAATTACCAAATCATTTGTCGCCAAGTAATACCTGCAGGAGTTTCGAAAAATGCTGTTTCGGAAAAACACGTTCAAAGATAAACGTATTACTTACATTGACTATTGACTAAACTATAATTTAAGAGCCTGTAACTCAAAAAATATTTAAAATATTCATATAAAATTTTAGCATGTTAATTTTAAAGCGTATACTATCGGTGTATGCAAGAATTAAAAATTAAAATTTTTTCGAAATTTCACACTACGTGTGCCACTTAGGTATATTATATACAAGCACAAATAATGAACTTCGTTACACATGACAGAATAACGCCTTATGACATCATGAAAATTCGAGATATTTGGTTGAGGGACTTTATCGGCATCTCAAAGAAATATCGATCAAAAAGACAACCGTGAAAAAAGCGTGACATACGACGTATAAATTAAAGGAATTGCATTATGAACTAGTCGCCCATCCATCATGTTCAGCGGATTTGGCTCCAGTGATAATTTTTTCTTTGCTGTACTCAAAAAGTGATGTAATATTGCACTTAAAACGCCTATTTGGAAGGTATCCAAGCTTCACACTAACAAACCTGTGACGAATTGTTGACCATTACAACAAATTCGGAAAATGTAGTCATATTTTTTTTATTCAAAAAACTTTCGAGTTTAATTATAAAAAGTTTTCGGCTGTATAACTTTTTTTTCTTAGTTAAATAAAAATAAGGTTTCAAAAATATTAATATATAATATCATATAATGGCTTTTCCAACGCTGTTTTCAGCTCTTATAAAAAATATGTGTTAAGACGGTTCTTGATCATTTGGTTAGTTATTAGCTCTTTACATTAAGAACCCTTATATGAAAGATCATAAAGCACAACTTAAAAATTATATATCTATGAGAAGTGGGCGTGGGCTTGCCTTCTATATATTCCCTTTAAAGATTTGTATAAATGCAGTAATTTATATACGCAAATTGTTTGCATTGGAGAAATCAATTTGATTGAAAGAAGCTAAGAGCAATTGCTGTTGTGAAAAAATTCTTAAATGATATACATTAATAGTTGAAACGTGTAAAAAGTTGTATATAACATACTACTTTATGGTACATATAAACATACTATACATTTTGTAATAATCACTATTTGCGTTCTAAATATTCTGACAATTGTATATATTCGCTTAAAATAAATAAAAAAATATCTGCAATCAATTAAAGCTTTTTCAACAGCCTTAATGAAATTATGTTTAAGACATTATAATTAAAAAATAATTCAAAATTAGCAATCTTCGATTTGCCAAGCGTTAGAGAGTAGACGGTATTTGGAATACCCACCAAATACTCTGATGCTTTGAAATCAACTCGCTAGCTTTGTATTGTTAAATGTTTGACAAAAGAAGAGTGTGGACAATCGTTTGCGAGTATAGAGCTGCCGAATCGATGCCGGCTAATACCATAGTAAATGTATATATGTATATATTATTTCAGCTAGTTCGCTAAGAAATTCTGCACTTTTCTCACACACACATACAAATTCATTGCGCATTTTGTAGAAAAGCACAGCTTTAATATAAATACAATATTATATCGAATTATCTTTAAAAACCGTAATATTTTATTTTAGCACACATTTTAACTCTCTCTGCTCATCCACATCCCTTTCTACAATTAATTTTTTACTATTGTATTTTCCAATAATGAAATGAAAAAATTCCGAAAATTAAATCGACAGGAGCGCGGCACTCAGCTTTTCCTGCGTTATGCCTCACGATGGGGTATGGAGGCGTTACGTGGTCTGGTCGATGTTACGCCACTGGAGCCGGGACGTCATTGTGGACAATTCCAGTGTCCCTGCCAATACATAAAAGAGCATTTGCAGTGCAAACCGCGAGGCAAGTTGAAATGTTTCTATTTCATTTATTGGGTGTTGGCTTCAGAGCGCTATGACTAGGGCCACAATTAACTGAAAACATGTAAGGAACACATACACACACACACGCATACACAGGCAATAACTTTAGTTATTTAATAATTTTATTTTAGATGTAACGTACTTGCTTTAATTAAAATCAGTACTCTAAAGACGCTTGTGGCAAATAAGCTTTATAGACATTCTAGCAGAATATTTTATTATACTCTCTACAGGGTATTTGCCATGAAGTTTGTAACACCCAGCAGGAAACGTTGTAGACCCTACCAAATATGTATACAAATGATCATGATCAGCGTGTTAAGCTGAGATCGATTTAGATATGTCCGTCTGTATTTATGCGAACTAATCCTTCAGTTTTTGAAATATCGATCTGAAATTTTGCACGTGTGCTTTTCTCTTTAAAAAGCTGCTCATTTATTGGAACCGCTGATATTGGACCCCTTTAGCATATAGCTACCATACAAACTGAACAATCGGAATCAAATGCTTGTATGGGAAGCTTCTTTATTTGAGGTAATATCTTTACGAAATTTGGCATGAGTTCTTTTCTAAGTCAACAATGTAATATCCGAAAAAATTGTTCAGATCAGATCACTATAGCATATAGCTGTCATACAAACTGACAGAACAAAATTAGGTTCTTGTATGGAAAACTTTTTGATTGGACGAGATATCTTCAAGAAAGTTGATGTGGATTATTGCCTAAAGCAATGGTGTAATTGTCGAAGAATTTGTTCTGATCAGATCACTATAGCATATAGCGGCCATACAAACTGACAGAGCAAAATCAAGTTCTTATAACGAATATTTTGTATTTGTGAAGGGTATTACTGAAGTTAACTTTTTTTCTTCTTATTTTTTGTATTTTATTGCATTCTTCATACACATACATCTTTTGATTGATATTTTCAGTTGTAATTGAAATATTTTCACGCATTTATACTCTTCATTTTCATCTAGCTTAGTTTCGTTTTGTGTTAATTTTTTCTTTATATATGTTTTAATTGATTTACATGTTTTTGTATGTCCTTTCTTTTTTCGGAAATCACAAATGCAGTTGTTATAAATAGCATAGGCCAGGTTGTTTGGAGTCGTTTTCCAATGTACTTAGAATGAAATTTAGCAAGAAAATCCACTTTGCACCAAACTTTTCATGTATGCATGTGTGTGTGAGCACAATTTTTGGCGGGCGTTCACTCAAAAGTATTTGTTAAACAATTTGAGTAATTTTCAAATATATATATGTATATACTCGTAGCTGAAATATATAAACAATTACTAAATTATCCTTAATTACATACAAATACATGCTTAGTTCGATAAGTTAATTACAATTGTTATAAGCTCATAAGTACTTAAGTACATACATATGTACTCCACTTAATACAAATCTATATGAATATATAATAATAATATATACTAATTATTGTTGTTTTAATCAATGAGCAGACATTTTAAAGTACTTCATTGTAATCATTTATGTATTCTCTTAATGCTTATTACCTTGTATGAAAACTTATGTGTACTTACAATTTTCCATACGAGTATATATGTTTGTATTTTCAAGCGCTTTCAAAATTTCCTTTGTATTTAGTTTTGTTAAGCAATAAGTTTTCGAATAAAGCACACACTATAAAAATCTAATACACAACTTGTTGTTTCATTTTTATAGGCTATCCTTGCAGTTGTATTGCTTACGCCACGGATCCCTACCTACAAGATCGCTTTTAAGTGTTCCCATTCGCATTAGGAAGTCATTTATATGTTATCCCATGTGCTTATTGTGACTAGACTCTCTATTTACAAGTATATAAATGTTTAATCCATAATATCGAATCAAGAATATTTAAACATATCATATCTATTATACGTCAATGTACAATACATATGCTGTTATATGAAGCAGTCAACAAAGAGCAATTTACAAGTATATATGTGTATAATTACACGAATAATTAATATTGAAATACAATTGTACATAACGAAATGTGTGTTTGATTTGAAGAAGATTATGAAGCATTGAAGTGGAAAACCCATTAATTTCAAAATTTAAAATTAAACTCAATTTTAAGATTGGTATTTTTTAGGGGCATTTAAGAAATTCACAAATGAATTTAACATTCTAACATAGTTCGCATAGTAGACGAGTACAATGGCGAACTGTCAAAAGAGTTAACAACATGTCAATAAGTCTTAATTGTTCAAATTCCAAATTTCATTGGAAAACCGGTCTACAATTTCTTAACACCAAAATTATTATGAAATCTGGGTTTGTGAAAATTGTTTAAAATTAAACATCTTAGTGACCAAACTCTTCTAAATAATATTAATCAATATAAAATCAATATTGCAAACTCTCACAGAATGAATAATATTATATAAATAATTACCAATATTTAAGCTTTCCAACTCCACTGGAAACAATTTTTTAGTTTCGTAGCAGTATTCGGATATAGGTATATGCCTCAGCTTAAAACAATATTTATCTTATTATTGTTCAAAAATGTAGACAAATTTCAATGCGACAGCTATAGACCATTGAAACTGCTAAATATAGTCTACACAATTTTTTCCAATACTTAGCAAGAACGATTACGCCCATACATGAACCAAATTTTGGGTGACTACCAAGCAGGATTTAAAACTGGAAGCGGCATTACCGATCAGATATTTATAATAAGAAATATGCTTGAAAAAAACTCAAGGAAATAATACCACCACATTTCACTTATTTATAGATTTCACGGCGGCATGCGTTAGTACAAGCTATGTCCACGCATTCAGCTCGCGAGCGATACTTCTTTTTTTCACATATACACAACCCATCGTTCAACTGTCGTTGAACAAATTTCTTGAGAGCATCAATCAGCATGAAAAATGTTTAACAACTATTGAGAAATCGATGTTTTTAGCTATGTTTTAAACTAAATTTATTAATACAAGTAAGGAAAGGAGCTGGATGCAAGCGAATATTTCATACTTTTGCAACTTGCAAAGATCAAAGCTGAGAGAAATTTATTCCGGTGTGGTTTAACCGTCAAAGTGTGTCAAAGGCTAGACCAATTTCATTCATGTTCAGCGGTAAACCATATAGTTTAAAAAAAAAAGTTGCCTATTTAATTTTATTACAGCATTAAGTATCACACATTTTGAACAACCTGAACAGCTTAACGTCAGGTGTAAAGTCGGAAATCATTATAGATGATTGCCCCAATACACTGGGGACAGAGAAAAGAATGGGCTGCTTGCATTAATTTGGACATTGCTCAGGTACTCTGAACAAAATATTTTGAAGCATATTTATAAATATATAACTCACACACTGAGAGACATATTCGTCATAATTCGAAAAACCAAAATCATTATAAGTAGTAATGGGTGTAATTCGTATATAGTGGGTGTATAAAGCCAACCGGAAGTTTCAAAATGTATGTTGGATATATGGAGTCTAAGAGATGTATTGACCCATTTTAACTATTTTTGCCAATACCACATACTAATAATATGCTCCCTGAGCTTCATTAAAGTACACTTACCATCACCAATATACAATATATGGCGTAAGGTCAGCCGGACTTGTGGGCTTGTGCACGTTATTACCTGATTTTAACCATTTAAGGCACAAAGGTACATTGTTATTAGCAAAACACGCTTTCTCGTTTTCATTAAGATAACTCAAATATTAGCCGATATATACGGTAAAAAATAAAGTTCGAAAATCTTTATATTAGGTATATGAAGCCTTCGGCCGATTCATCCCATTTTTGACACACAGGCATACTGTTATCAGAAAAGGATTTGCTCCGTATTTCTATAACATATCTCAAAAATCGATATTTTCTATATAATGTTCGCTGTAGGAACTGGGGTCCACATAATTGGTGTCTGGAGGCTTCAACATTTGTAGTCCGATTTTGACAATTTTTTGCCATAAGGTGGCGCAACTCAAAGCCACTAGTATTGCAAAGCTTTATCCGGACACATTGATGGTTTATAACACCCATTTTTGCACTAAAGCATACGAATATCATGATAATATTACATACTAAATCTGATCGAAATCAGTGGAGAAGGTGCTGACATATGGGTTTTCAACTACATATGTGTGGTGCCACGCTCATCGTCTTATTTTGAGCCTATGAACGAATTTGGTTATTATATCTTGAACGGTTTTGGGAATATGTACCTTCAAACTCTCAGTGGGCATGCTACTGCGATTTCCTGTGCCAAATTACGGTTATATATATTTATTTAGTGCTTAGTTTGGTTTTTGTTTAAT